CAGTACATATGTTTTTTGGCCTACCCTTTGCATCTGTGAAAAGTTTGTGTTGTTTGGACATCTCTGTGAGAAGTTATGAATATCGAGTTTACTATGGATAACGCCAAAATTAATTAATTTGGCAATTTTCGTGAAAATCATAACTTCTCGCAGAAACGTCCAAACAGCGCAAACTCTTCACAATTGCAAAGAGTAGGCCAAAAAACATATGTACTGACGATTTCAGATTTTTCTGCAGCATTCCAGATTTTTGGTGACCTAACTTAAAATGGTCAAACTTTACATGGTCTTAGTTTTCCATTTTTATCTCGGCACTCAGTGCGAAGCAGAAGCTACATAAAACAGCGCTTGAAAGCGGAAGATCTATTCTTTCTAATAAAATTACGAGCAAGCAAATCCGTTGAAATCTGGCGAAGTTACAAATTTTTGAAAATGGAGGGACAGAACTTTCGGTTCAACCTAATATTTGGCAGCCTTAAGGACAAAAAAGGCAGTTTTGAGATAAAATTCAGTGTGACGAATTTGAATTCATAAAATTGCACTTCAATAAAGCAATAGATGAGAATATTTTGAGCAGATAAATGATTGAACAGATGCAGTTAAAGCATAAAAATCTGCCATTGTATTTACCTATAAAGTGCTCAAATTCCGAAAAACACTCCGGAATTTGCAAATAAATTTTACAGTCGTTACAGAATGCACTCTTTATGATAAGAGTGCTTGTTTGCAATTGAATGGAAAGGAATGCCATAGCAATAATGAGACGCAAATCTTTTTTTGTGGTCACAAAAAGCAACGTCAAGGAAACAACTGCACAATGATGTCAAATTATTTTCTTAGATTGGAGGAACTGGGAGGGGGGGGGGGGTGCGGGGAAACTGAAAAAGAAAAGCTTACTTGTCTACTACGTAGTGAAGGTTTTCAATATTTAGCTGCAGTGATTCGAATACTTTCTCCATTCATGTAAGCGGCGATAAAGAAGGCAAATTGTCGGGGAGGGGGGGGGGGGGGAGTGGAAGAAGACTTGGAGATCAGAGAACAGTGCGAGTAGCCGACTCAAGCGAGAGGTTGCGCGGAGTACGTTCGATGGTCGGGTGCAGGGCAATGATAAAAATTAACTATGCAGTTTGACTATGTTTGTCAACGATGCTGATAAGCTCTCGCATGGAAAATGTGTAGAGTTTGCTCTAGGCCTCGAAAAACATCCGGAGACTAGGCAAATATAGAAGGCGGAAGGGCAACGGTGGAACGGGAAATCTCCTTTCAAAATTTGAAAAGGTTTGATGAATCATATTGCGATTACTGTAGACAGTATCCAGGCGAAGCCGGGTCCTTAGACTTTTTGAATTAATTGGTTAATTATTCAAATCTGGTTAGCCCAAGTGTCATCCTATATGAGTCTCCCCCCGAGAACTTCATTTAGTCCAAAGCGAACAGCAACCAATCAGCACCTTCGGGTACGGTACTGGGCTAGAGTTTAGACTTATATTTCTCATCTACGAATGAAAGATGTGAGCCGCTAGTTGGACAACTACTTATTTAGGACCTCCCAATCATTAGCCATCTAGCAAACCCAGGTACCCATTGCCTAAACTGCTTTTAATAAGGTCTTTCTCTTTTCCCATGGCCTTTTTTTTGGAGAGCACAGTTGGATCAAAGCTTTTCCGAAAAAAAAGCATGCAGAAACTTCCACAGATCTGAACTTGAAGTAACGATTATTTTTATAAAAAAAATATAACACTGACATAATAAGTTAAAGTAGGAGATCATACTATGCTGCACTCTTGCTAATTAGCAAATTGAAGCAAAATTCAATTGCGAGTAATTTCTCCTCATTATTGCAAGTAATCCTACAAATTTTGTTTGAATTAGCTAGGGGAGTATAGGCGATTAAATTCATGTGACAGTAATCCATATTTAATTTGCTTTATAGACCATCTAGTTAAACATATAGCAGACAAAAACATCTACACAATGTACATGTTTTTGACAATCTGTAGTGCTGCATCCTTCAACCATGAAGTATATTTTGAGCATGAGGAGGTAAAAAATGAAGTTTTAAGGGAAATTGAAAACAAGAAAAATTCTCAAGTTAGCCTAGCGTGGGCACGACGATGAGTTTTATCTTTGCGGCTCCAACTTAACTGAAAAAGAAATTTGGTAGTTTGTTTACGAGGAATATTTTGGTCTATTTAATTTTGTAACAAGTTGAATTTCTTGTAAAACACGGGGAAATAATCGAAGAAAAATTGCCAAAGTGAATATAATTTACACCACAGATCGTGCTAACAAAGAAAATGCGCAATAAGCCTATAATCAGGTTTGCTCTATATGTTCAGTCAGTGTTCTCTAGAAGTAGATGTGATTTGTGGGCTTAACGATTGCTAATTGGGATAACTGTCACAATGGATTTGCTACAAAACCTGTTTTTGATGGATAAGTGCTCGTTTCTCCATTATTTGAACCGTTCCAGATAATTGGAGCGAACAACTTGGTATATAGACGTTGAGGGTATACAGGTATAGACAAAGTTGTGCACCAAAATTCGGTCACAGTCAATCAGCATCATTTTTAAGTGTAAAGGATCCAGCAAAGATAGTGGAACTGTTCAAAGAATCGTGTGGAAAGAAAAAAGGCTACAATGCTATTAGATAAATGTTAAGCTAGATATGATTGTGACTGCTTCTGTCAAAAGGAACTCGACTGAAGGAAAGCAGTACTAATCAGTAATACGATGATAAAGATGAGCAGTAAAATTATTAACGAGTAGTAGTAAAATTTGATCAATCTGATCAAAAGGCAGATTTTAGTGACTGGGTGTTCTCAAATTTTTGATGAAAGTTAACTATACCATGCCTAAGCAGCAATCAATGTTTCATCCGAAAAATGCTACCCTAAGCTCTCACCCAGCACGTACTCTTTTTGAAAGGACCAGTCGCATTACGGTATTGGGCGAGAGTTCGGAGTTGACTTCCCTGACAAAGTATTTTTTACGGCTTTATTGAGGCCAATCCGTTCAACTGAAAATTGATATTCAAACTTGCTTAGGCAATAACTTAATATATTAGGAGTGGAAATGGTCCAAGCCAATGTAAATCTTTAACAAAAATGAATATTGAGTCATAGTTTGTTGGCAATGTCTGCTTGAGCAAAATCGTTGCTTATAACAGTCTTATCTAGCATCAAGATGGACCTGAAATAATGATAAATTTTTATTGTATAATCGTTTTGTCTTTCCATTCAAAAATGTGTTATTGCCAGTACATTTCATCTTCAACTTGTAGCACGATTCAGAGCGGATAATTGAACAAAAAATAAGGAAAGGCAAAAATAGAATATCATCTATAGCTGGAATATTTACTGTGTTTTTCGATGTAGACAGCTGAAATGGATTAAAGGAAAGTTTAGCAAAAATCACAGCTTTGCCATGTGACACCAACCAGAAAGGCATTTATATACGATCTCTTAAATTATGAATACTGATTAACAGTTATTATATTCTCAGAAAAGGAAATAAAAAGGTCATTTGCAGAGTGCCTTCCTGTATTTTTTGACTATATAAGATTCCAGCGGAAGTGAAAAGTCCCATAGCATCTATTCTACGCATTTAGAACGGGATCTCTACGAGCTTCGGAAATGGAACCGAACCGTACATGAGCACTAATGATAGACGCGAATTTGCACAAAACGCTAATATGAAATCGATGGAGGCTGGAAAAAGTGCGCGCGCAATTACTCAGCAAAACTGTGTCTAATCAGGAATGGTTTTTGTGACAGCTGTCCGAACATTGTTCACTGTACGATTAGCGTCAACTGAGACCCGATTTATCTGCGATGCGAAGTGGAATGACAGCAACGATTTGCCTATAGTTAAGATAAGCATGGCATAGTTGGCAATGGGCACGCAATTCGATGAAAAACAAAGCAGAGACAGTTTTAGGGCTGGAAATGCGTCAGTACTGTAGAGATTATGTGTTAAAAAAGATTATGTGACATATCTACATATCAGTAAAGGCCGAGGAACTTTTTTCCCAAGGGGGAAGAGCAGCACGGAATCGGCCCACTCCCTGAAACTTCTTAGAACGCTTGCTAACTTCTGACCCTGTTTGATGTACAATTCGAAAATCGAGAAACAAATCTGAGATAAAATTTGAGATTTTCGCATGATCGGAAATTCTTAGAAGGAAAAACGTGTGTAAAAAATTGGGTATGAAGTAATTTGATTTACGGAAAACTGAACTTTTTCCAGATTAAATGAAGTGTAAAAGAATTGTAAATTGGTTGAAATCTGGATCTCCAAGAAGAATTTTCTAGAAATGAAAAAAATATGAGAAGAATCAAAAATAATTTCGAACACGATACTCACACTGGGATTTCTTTGAATTGAGAAAAAGTACAGCAAAAATTTTTTTTTATAATCTTGCCCTTGTTTTTTAAATGAAAGTCAAGAATTTCGCTACAAGTCGTGACCCTCAAATTTATATTTAGAGGTGGTGTTAGCTATATATTTAATTTGAAGAAACTTCAAGCTTTTTTAAGAAAAGCACAAATAGAAACAAGTTTTGCATGATATCATAACTTGTATTATATCGTTTCTGTAATCTTTGATTCAACTGTTGGCGGCTAAAAGGCGGAGCTTTGTGACCTAATCAAGGCCGTTCGCACCCGCAACGCAGTGTGCGTCTCTCTCGCGCGCGTGCTCTCCTATCATTCTCTAGCCTTAACTAAGTTGCGAAGCCCCGCCTTCCAGTTGCCAACCCAGTTGAATCAAAGGGTATATGCTGCGACCCTTCAAGAGTTTATGGGCCAATAACACCTGGCACAAACCAAACCCACTTGATCTTCCGTGTTCACATGTAAGGTATGATAAATGCCCAAAGAATTTCTATAGCATGGCTTTCTCCAATGAACATACACACATCAACGATTTGTCAAAATCACCCCGCCCCCCCCCCCTCTCTTCAACCTTTTCTATACTGAAAACAATGAATCTTACTCACCTTAGAGACTTGTCGTCAGATGTAGTTGACGAATGCCGGTCTTCATGCGGACAGTAATCAATTGTGTGTCGATTTTTCCTACAACAATGTTACAGTAAAGTTACAGTAAGCTTCGACAAAGAAGCAAAGTTTGGAAACAGTGAGCGACACAGAGAGCGCAGTGCGGATAGTACACTATGAAAAGAGACGTAGAGAAAAAGACGGTACAGCGCCCGAAGAAAGCAAAAAAATTCTCTCGGGCGAAAGCTTGTAAATTCTAATTGCTGAAAAATGCGGCGAGTGAGGAAAATGTGGAATGGAGATTTCAGAAGTGCAAGTGGAGAAGAAAATTTTCTCAATCACACATGAAAAAAAACGAAATAGAATATTTAAGTGGATAATTAAAATGTATTTTTTTCCCGTTTCCAGCTACATAGTGAAATTACTAGAACTAAATCAAATATAATATTCTAACTAACTTGTGTCTCATTGAAGCAAACCATTTCCTAAGTGAAATTCGTGATTTGCGTGGAGGATGTCGAGGCGATGGCACTAATATCTGAAAATCACGAGCTAATCACGACATCACGAGCTGCTCTGAATTCTATAAAGAACCGAAACTTACCAAATTTCCATTTTTATCCCAATATTTCCTAGTTTCTTCTATCGAAAAGGGCTGAGGTATTTTCCTGGAACCAGTAAGATGTTGACTAATTGTGCGCCATACATATATACACATTGCAGAGGAGGAGACAAAACATAAATGGCGACAATTCGTCAAATTAGAGGAAATTTGAAGCCGCTTCATAAGAGAAAAGATTTTGTTACATTTTATTGGTTTTACAGCATGACGATTATGCGCAAAAAAGAGATGACGCACAATTACTTATGTTTTTGAGGAAAACCAAAAAAGGCCTTAGGCCTTTATAGGCTAGAAATTTATTGAGAAATAAAGTGAACTCGAATTTTCAACTCAAATCTTGTTTTTTGTGAAAAATTACGGTAGCTTTACGGGTATACGGTAGCGCAGTGAACGCGAGCGCTAAATGATAATTTTAACATATTCAATATTCGTAAAGTAAGACAGTGTAGGAATATGGTAGTTACAAGGTAGCGCAGCAAACATGTGTGCAGAATTCCAGCTTTAAAACTACAGTCCCAGGAGAAAAAGCACGACAAGATTACGGTAGAAGTACGGTAGCAGAACAGGATTTGCAAACGCTGTAAAAGTTTTTTTGCCATGTAAGAGCTCACCTTTGGCTAGTGTCGATGAATGTGAGCATAACTGTGACGGAGCGTGTTGAACCAGTTTTGTGATTTTCTGGAAAAGTTCAAGATAGGACAGTTTGCTAAAGAGAGTCAACTGGCACACGGAAGAATACGAGATGTTTGAGCGATTAATGACAAAGTAGAGGTTTTTTTCCGCATAAGAACATTTACCACCAAAACGGTTATGTTAGCAGATGGGAAAAAGAAACTGGTCTCGGCTCATTGACTGAATGATTGCAATGAAGGAGTAGTCAAAGGTGGGGGACGAGTATACATGAAAGAATCCTCCTTATATTTTTGAAATTGGTCTACATGAGTTTTACAGGATATCCTAAAATAATGTATCAAACGCTCGATCATTTGTTGCTTGAGGAGCTTTCGCGGTCCTTCAAACATCATACCACTAAGAAGGAAAACACGTTCTATTACTGTAAAAATTTTCAACATAGAGTAGTGTGAATAAGCCGCCGTTACGAAAAAAAAATTCTCTAAAAAAATCTGGAAAGCTGTATAGAAAAGTTTTTACACATTCTAATTCTTCTGCTCAACAATTTTGGCGTTTTTGAGTTTTTTCAGATGGCGCTTGCGTTATTGAGTAATTGGTCTAATTATTTACAAGTAAACGAGTCACTGTATATACAGTACCGCTCTAGGAACGTGCAAAATTTCCGTGAATGTCGCGGAACTCCCGGAGTAGTCGAGGACTTCCGCGAAATCCCCGAAATACCGCGACATTTACGGAATTCTGCACATTCTGACTGAGAGCGGTATTGTACTTGCCCAGGTACCCTTTTACTTCTAACCCAAAATGATTTTTCAAATTTTCGAAAAACCCAAAGCTATACAAAAAAAGATTCCCTTGGGAGCGGAAATTCGCAAAAGTTGAGAACACTTTAGAATTATGCTTCTGTGGTCAGGAAGAAAATCTCTCGCGCCTAAACCCTTTCGAGCAAAATATCTGGCATCAGCACTGATTTGCAGTAACTATTCATAATATCCCTTACCCAACGAAATTCTTCGATTGTTCCAGGAAATGATGGAAATACAAAGACATATGAAGCGGATGAATGGAAATTTCAGAGAAAAAATTTTAGAAACGTGAAAACTGAGATAAACCAATTGAAATGCGGCAAATTTCCTTTCCCCTTCCAAGATTAAACATTCAACAGGGGGCACCTCAGTAGACGAAATGACCGGGAAAATGCAAGGATAAAAGAAAACGGGGACTTATAAACAAGCAGGCAGGTAAGCAAGAAGCAATAGAACCAAATAAGAAATAGAACACAGCTGTACAAATGAAATACCACTGGCCTAAAAAATTATTTAAAAGAAGGAACGGGACGAAGCACAAGAATGAGGAAGGCGAAGAGGTGCCAGTGCATCAATGATGGCATAGTTAAGTGATTCACACATAAGAGCTTCTAACATCTGTTATCAAAAGCTTTTTTTTTCATAAGATTTGTTGGTTTAGTCATGGCGTGAGAAGTTTCTAACGGCTACACCCTCAATTTTCTTCTGATTAATGCGGAGAATTGTGATTTGTTCCTCGAATATAAGGTGATTTTACTTTCTCGTTGTCTTAAATCAGCGAAATAAGCTCCTTTGCTGATTTCAATGTGAAATTATATCATCGTGACAGAGTCAAAGAATTTTTGAAATGCAGCAGTCGACATGCGAATCATCTACGTACTTTGTGCTTTGAAGGAATATTGAAAACACCCCAAACTCTTCCTATTTTTCATAGTATCTCGAGCGTAATTTTGTAAATGATGTGTTACAATCATTTTTTTTGAAAATATAGCCAAAATGAAGTGGTGTCGTAGAGTAAGCAATGGCTATGAGAAAAAGAGATGAGGGGGGAAAAAGGCTCTACTTATTTATCCACATTTTTATTTATTTTCAACCTCCAAGCTGTGCATCAAAGTGCAAAAAGTACGAGGATTAAGTCGAAAGCATTATAACATCTTTACATAAAAACTAGGTAGAAATTATAGAGCACAATTTGCTAATCATTAATATTTCTCGAGTACTATGAAAATTTAAAGAAAAATTGTGAAAGGAATATTTTTGGGACGGGGCGGGCGGGGGTGGGTAAATAGCAGACACCTCAAAAATACTATTTTCAGCATGGAAAAATATTGCTATTAACCTGAATCAGGTCCGGATTTGTTGTGAATAGAGAGATAGGGCATCAAACTTTTTATTAGACTTGAGGTGGAAGAAAATTCTATCAATTTGTGTGGTAAACCCTGGAATTTATTATTTAGAGCTTAAAAAAATCTTACAATCAGAAAAATGAAAGATTAGTACCTATCCCAATTTAAGGAGACCAAAAGTACCCAAAAAGCAATAGAATTTTACTGATTCAGTGATTTTGGAATGAATGAACATCTGAAACGCTTAGAGTGAGAAGCAATGGAAATGCCAGACTGCTCCGAGACAAAACATGCCACTGGAAATGTGTACTGCTCGTTGACGAGCATTTACACTAACAAGCACTAAAGAATCAATGATCATCGTAAATATTATCAACACTATCAACTATCGCGTTACCTCAAATATGACCTTCAGGGGGGAGGGGGGAGAAAAGTGAAATCACTTGCCGAAATTATCAATTCAATAGACTAGTTTTTGGACACTATCAAAAGTCTGCACAGAGATCAAATGACGTAACTCTTCCCCTTCACTCAACTATCAAAACAAGCAGAATAAAAACCTGAGCAAAGACCATCACTTTTAGGGGGGGGGGGGGGATCTCAAATCGGAATGCAACAAAGGTGGAACGAGGAAGACGGCGGAAAGCAGAGCGTAGATGTAAGCTCTTGATATCAGGCGTGTTCTTCAATTATACGTCAGCTACCCATCCAGTTTTACGCATAGGAGGAGATGGCCACACCGGATAAGTAGGTTTTGGGTTAGAAGACCGAGTGACTTTTTTGAGAATCATCTACGAGGTGTTTGGGAGAAGATAAAGATGTAACATACGATTAGGCGAAGTCAATAACAACTGGCTCAAAATTTTCCGCGAGTCTCATTATTCCAAGCAATATAAGCGAAGTTAATTTTTTTTCTAGCTGAATATCTCTGGCGCTCGAGACAAAAATGCAAGAAATATTTTCACTACCATAGGCATAAGCTGATTTTCTTCTGATCCTTTTTCGTCAGTACAAAGCACCTACCAGATGGCATTCTTATACAAAGGACCGCGGTAAAAGCAAAGCTTATTTTTGATATATGCATTACTTTGATGACGACAAGAACGCAAAAATCAGATTAATCATGATTATCAAAATCAGATTATTTTCATGCAAATGTCGATAAGGTTAATCCGAAAGTTTGTTCGTCACTTTTCTCAAAAGATCGTAACTTCCTTGCTTTTCGATATTTATATACAAAGAATCGTTGTGCCTATTCAAAAAAGGTGAAATGCGGGAAACAGCGCGGGTCCCGCAGCGCACGCTCTTGCAAATCTAACACGTTTAGATCACTGGTTCACTAGTTTCTTGAAAGTATTATTATTCGAAATCGGAAATCATACGCTTTACAGCAGTGTAGGCTGACTCAGTATAAGTAAAGACTAGAGTCACGAGCATTTAACAAAAATTCATTCAAAATTAGCATTTCTGAGCGAAAGTTTAAAAGCATTTTTGTTTGGAAGAAAGATATTTGCGCATTACAGGACATCTTTGCCGTGAACTAGTATGGGAAAATGCGAGAATACCAGCAAAAAGAGTGGCACTCAAAATTGCAGTTTCCAGGCAAGGTGGACAGCAATAGTGGAAGGTTGGGAAGAAACCTAGATAGCTCAGCGTTAATTATCGATCTTGAGTAATTATCTTCATTTGCTTTTTAACTCGACATCCAAAAACCTTTTTTCGAACTCAAAATATTGCTTTAGGCAGCTCGCATTGCGATAAAATAAAAATATATACGCTGAAAAATTGAAGACGTATAGGAAAGTAGCCAACATTCAAAGGACATGAAGCGATTTGATGAGAATTTGTATATGATTGATAGATCTAGTTATTGATTGTAAAGTTATTGCATACATATACACCTCATTGTCAAGACGGAAGAGATCTTAACGAGGAGATAATGACTGATGGCCGATGACCGCTAGGTCCAGACTCGGAATCACATCAGCCTTTTTGGGTCAAGGAGTGATCAAGCAACCAGTCGCAATGAGTTTTTATTTTTCGTACGAGGTTGCACTTTAAAATCTTTTCGAGAATAGTGAAAATTACGCTGAGAGTGCACAGATGAGTGTGGTATGATTTGGTAAAAGATGGAGAAAAAAAACCATATAAGTTTTGGTATACTTTCTTTGTCTTCCTCCGGAAAAGTCTGAAAGTTTCAACAAAGACCAATTTGACAGATGTGGGAAAAAATGGACTATCCTCAGACAATTCAGCGGAACTTCCGCAGGAAAAGCAAAATTTGCAGTGGTTATGCAGGATTTTTTATTCACTATCACAGAAGTGGAAACGTTGAAAATGGGAGCTTCCGCAGGATTTTCACGTCAGACTGGTTGAAAACGAGAACTTCCGCAGCACGTTTACGGAACTTTCGCAAGTAACCCGGCGGAACTTCCACGTCCTGCGGAAGTTCCGATCAAGTGCCTGAGCATTAGTATCATTTTGACCTTCACGGGCATGAGTTAAGTGCAAACCTTAAACGGTACTTCAAGCTCCATTCTCTTCTTCGTTTTTCAAAAACTCTCTCATTCTTCTTTTTTTTCGATTTTTATGGACTTCCGGGAACACGGTAATATTACCGAGGCGGTTCGGAAATTTAGGTTGAATAACGCAAATTGGAAATTTGCCAGATAATTTGAAAAAAAATTCAAAATTTCAAAAATTGTACTTCTATGTTTGAAATGTGTTTATCAAAATTCCACAATTCCACATGTCAAAAATGAAAAAATAATATTCTGAGGAAAGCTATGAAGATTTCATGTGTGACAAAACTTATATAACAACCTAATAATAAGCATAAGACAGATGATATCTAACATCTAGGTCCTAAGTGGAAAACCCGGTGGATGCACTGTGCAG